TTACCTAGCCATGTATAAATGAGTGTATCTTACCTTTGTAACTCAGGATTGATGTTTAGGGTTAATTGCACTGAAGCCCCTAAAGTATGGAGTATGTCCCATTTTGGTCCGCAATGTTTCAATTGCATCATTTTAGTTCCTGAAGTATTGAAGATATTTCTATATTGTCTCTTAAGCAGACCGTGTCCAAATTGCTAATGATTTTTAATCATAAATTTGTCACATGATACTTAAATATGGACAAAAAAATAATTTGGATAACTCTTGACCAAATTTCTACTCAATTTTTGGTTAAATAGCTATCTAAATTACACAGTTTTGATTATTAGATATCCAAATTTTAGTCAAAAGCTACCCATATTACACTTTTTTTGTTAAGAGCTACCCAAATTTTGTTTAAGAGCTATCAAAATTATTTTTTGTCCATATTTAGGTATTACGTCACAAGTTTGTGAAAAAAAAAATGTTAGCAATTTGAACATTGTAATCTTGAAGGACTATATAGAAACATGTTAAATACTTCAGGGATCAAAATGATTGCTTGATGATTTTCCCTAATCTCCAAACATGAACTCGGATTATGTGTATAAGGCTTATACTAGTTGGTGAGTGTCACTCTCTCTCGGGTTCGTGCAAGTAATGGAAAAAAACGTGTGTCTGAACAAAAATGTGTGTGTGCAATAGTGCTCCCCAAGCGTAGAGAGACTTGCAATTTTCGTGTTTTCCATGGAATGGGTATTCCAAGGTCATCTCCTCAGGGAATGCGATGTCAAATGTTTTTGAAAGGTGATTTGTGAAGAAATGAAAATTGAAAAATCTTGTGATTTGTGTTTTGGTGAGTTATGTTTTGTAAAATATGCAAGAAAATAAGGTTGGATAATCCATAGAGGTCATTCGAATGGGAATGCAAAATTGACACAATTCATTCAACCAATGGTGTCTTAGTGTTTGATTGATTCATACGAAATGAGGGACTAATGTGGATGTGTTAGGCAAAAGTATACCCCATGACAAGTCTAGGTGTATCAAGAGCCAACAACTACATCCGCACTCAACCTAGTCAAACCAAACACTTTACACTACGAGGAAGAATGAAAAAGAGTTGATTTCACATACCCAAGAGGAAATTCCCCTTGGATTAGCGAACTAAAAATCTAGCTACTTATAGTAAAGGCAAGAACAAACATAATGTAAAGAGGCATGGTAATAAAATGAAGCACGAAACTTGTATTTGTGCAAGAAAAGGTTTAAATTACAAGAGTAAAGTCATTCATACCCAAATTGCAAAACTTGAAGAGAAAAATACCCAAATGTAGAAAATGGAAATACAAAACACTAAACTAGGCTTGATTACAACTTGAATAAAAGATTTTAGAGTGAAATAGGGAAAGATTACAGGTAAAAAAAAGCATACTACAATGAAAATGGTGAAGGAAATGTGAAAACCCAACTTTCTCTGTCTAAAACTTCATCTTCAACCTTTGAGCTTCTTTCTCTAAAAGCATATACAAATCTGAATAATGGTGTAAGACCTTTCATTTTTGTCCAATCTCTCTTCCGTAGCCTATGTGAACTGAACTCCAATGAGTGGGGAGAGATTAGACACTTCCACAAACAAGTTCAGTCCAAGCATGGTCTTCCCTTGCTTCACCAACCACCCCTATTTTCTCTCTTGCTTCTCCCCTCTCTCTTATTTTAAATATGAATTTAGGGGTTAGTAAAGTATAATGGGGTGTCAAATATGTTAGGGTATGGTTTGGATGACAAGAGGTGGGCCTCCAGAGTAGGAGGAGTTGTGTGAGCAGATGTCTGGCAAATCTGGGCAAAACCTATTGGTAGGATTTTTCCAGCAAGATTTTCTACCGGTAATTTTTTGCATGGATGAGGTAGAAGAATTCTAGTAGCATTTTCTACCAGTAGGTTTTGAATCTTCTACCAGTAGGTTTTGACTTACTTCTACCGGTAGGTTTGGTTGACTTCTACCGGTAGGTTTTGTCCTGCTTTGGGATTTGCATGGTTCCTTGCGGTCCCGAGCCATCCGTTAAGCATTCCCTTCTTCCCTATTGCCTTTGAGCACTTGATAGGAGGCTTTATACATGGCCTTACCTGCTCTTTATCTACAATCACACAAATATCCATTAATTGTGAGTTTGAAGCATTTCCCCTAATTTTCACCATAAAACAATTAAAATGGGTGCAAAAGAGATACATGATATTCAATATTCTATACTCACCAATGACGCAATTGAAACATTGGGGACCAAAATGAGACAAACCCCATACTTTGAGGACCTCTAGTGCAATTAACCCTAATGTTTATAATGTGAAGGGAAAATTGTGGTTATAAGAAAAGAAAGGTGGATGATGAGTATTTGAGCTTATTGTTGAAATCCAAAAGAAAAGCAAAGAAAAGAAGTGGAAAGAAAATAAAGAAAAAAAAATAGTTGTCAAAAGGCAATGAAAAAAGAGGGAAAAGAAAAAGAAATGAATGAAGTGAGCTAATTGGAGGAAATGTGGGTAGAAAAATCATATTCTCAGGAAAACTTCTTTTGAATCCCTATAACCTTTTGTTTCTTTAGTTTTTACCCAAGGCCACATTACAACTAGATAAAGTCATATTTGGTCTTGAAAATTGTGGCAGGTGTATGTTTTAAATCATGTTAAAGATAGGTCAATTGTACTACTTTCATTTTTCCTAACATTCTGTCATGAAATTATGCCAAGACCATTTTATTTGTACAATTGTTTATCATTTCTAAATTATATGTGGGCTATACTTTGTTTTGAATTACAAGAATCCGACTAACATACATACATTGAGTGAAATGCCATTAAAATCAGTGGTTCTTTGTTTTTGAGAGAAAATCCGTGGTGAGATTTGCATTAAAGCTATTTTGGATAGCTAATATAGATGTGAGTTTTATTTGATAAATTTCTTAAATTGCACTATCATCTCACACACACGCGAGTCTCTAGTGGAAATATGTATCTGAAAATATCTTGAGTGGGTGGGAAATTTTTGATTAAATATCATTGTTAATTTGCATGTTATAATATGTTCTATGTTCAAGATATGTAATAAAAGAAATTTGCAAGTATCTTCACTAGTTTTTTTTTGTGCGAAAATTGAGGGGAGCAATCTATTAAAGTTTATACCAGCAAGGAGGCAAGTGTAATATAAAAAAGAACATGCAAGAATAGTGTGGAAGAACCTCACCACAATCCAACAGATTAGCACCGTTCAGACAGTGGTGATGGCATCCAAATGGTTGCTTAGACAGTTCAACTACTTCTTTCTTCTAGCATCTTCATCTTTGGCCTATAAATAGGCCTGTCCAGCTTGCTCAATTGAGAGCTTTCAAAATGGGGAGTTTGAACAGACCTTTGGAGAGAAATTNTCTTCATCTTTGGCCTATAAATAGGCCTGTCCAGCTTGCTCAATTGAGAGCTTTCAAAATGGGGAGTTTGAACAGACCTTTGGAGAGAAATTCAAGCATAATACGAAGAGGGAGATTCAAGAATCCAAGGGGAGATCCTGTCCAACCTATTTTCCAATCAAAATTCTATTATTTCTACATTTCTGTTATGTCTTTGNTTCAAGCATAATACGAAGAGGGAGATTCAAGAATCCAAGGGGAGATCCTGTCCAACCAATTTTCCAATCAAAATTCTATTATTTCTACATTTCTGTTATGTCTTTGTACTTGGAGAGTTGAACTTTCGCCACCTTTGTGTCTTAACTGATATTAAGGGTGGTTGTATTTCAACTATTCCTTGGGAAAGGAGTGTTTGTATTTTATTTAGTATTCTAATGAAACTTACATGCACTTCTTGCTTGTCTATAGCAATGAGGTGTAAGTAGTTTATTTATACCTTTTAGCGAGGGGTGAATATATGTATATTATTGGTTAAGTTATGGAAATGCCAATGTTTAATTATGCTTTATTGTTATATATACCTCCCTTAATTGATGGATGGTTATATTTATAATATGCTCATGGTTATGAACACCGAGTAGTACTTAATATTCTATACCATCTATCTACTCTTATGTACTTCATGTATGATACAGTGATGTACGTAATTGGGTGTTACATAAAATTTGATTGATTGGTTATAGACGAGTTAAGTCTCGGTATAGCCAATTCTTTCAATTCAATATGTGACCCGAAATTATGTCATCAGTGAATCGTCAACCTGTCGGTTGAATATCTAGAGTGTTCCAACTGAATGGCTTGACCTTTTGGTTTACTAAGGATGTTTAACTATTCCATGGTACAAAGCTGTTAGATAAATAACCTAAATGGTCCTCCTGAATGGCTTGACCTTCTAGTTCACTAGGGTTGTTAACTGATATATAATATAAAACTGCCAACTGAGTAATTCTAGTACTCCTCCTGAATGGCTTGACCTCTGGTTTACTTGAATTAGTGAATTGTTGCATATACCTACCAGCTAACCTAAACAGTTGTTGTGTTATGGTTTAATATACATCAGACCTACCAGTTGACTTTTCAATGACCTAGAAGTTAATTATTGTAAGCTGGCATTTTCAGTACTTAACCAATATAAAGCATATGAGATCCTTGAACTGAAGGGTACCTTTTTATATTATTAACATTCACCAATTTGCCTACGCATTTCATTTACTCATACTAGTTATCAATCTAAGCTCACCTCACAAGCTATCTCATGCTACATTGCTTTAATAATAACTTCATTGTTCTTATTTTAAATTCCAATTATTAAAACTCTTCGTGGGATCGATCTTGAACTTAAATCGAGAAAACTACAATTCGACCACTTATACTTTGGTGTATGATATAAAGCAGGTCACAAAACACGTTGAATCAAAGGGACCTATTAGTGGTGTTAGTGAGAGGAAGAGCTTTAATATGTCTCGAGCTACTAGATTAGATAGACCTTCTACCTCGACTGCACCTTTAGCCTCTATAGCTACTCCTATTCCACTGATCTTAAAAGCCACTATTCATTAGCGAATGACGAGGCTAAAGGAGAGGATGGGTGGTTTGGAGTCCAATGTTTACGAGATTCAAGGGACATATATTCAGATAGCCAAGGATTTAGAGATGTCTTTGATGATACAAAGGAGATTGTTTGAGGCTCTCCTTCCTAGTGAGACTCTATCGGTCATTCCTCCACCATCTTTCACATCCAGAGCTACCACTTCAGGTACTACTGCTCTAGCCACTTCAGCACCACCTCTAGCATTTGTGTTTGAGCCAAGGAATGCGGTTTAGNCCAGAGCTACCACTTCAGGTACTACTGCTCTAGCCACTTCAGCACCACCTCTAGCATTTGTGTTTGAGCCAAGGAATGCGGTTTAGGAGATAGGCAACAGTGATGATGAGGAGGAGGCTGGGGTTAGATCTTAGAATGATAAGCATGAGGAGTTTATGTCAGAGTAGTTTGTCTTGTTTATTATTTTAGTCTATTAGCTAGTTTTTGTTTTGTTATGAGGTGGTCTAGTTGGGCCAAAATGACTTAGTTTAAAAACCCTTTAGTTTTGTCCTAAAGTTTTTAAATTTTGATCTCTTGTACCCACTGACACTGGTTATATATATGGTTATCAGTCTCTTTTGACTTCATTGTATATTTTGGAATTTTTTTTATGAATTGATGTATATGAGTGTCTTGGTTGTATAGATAGTTTGATTGTGTGTGAGATTGATGAATGGATGATTGCATACCTCTCTATGGTTGGTTTGCTAAGGACTAACAAAGGTTAAGTTGGGGGTATGTTGAGACCATAACATTTCATATTTTATACTTTAATTCATCCATTTTATGCATGTGTTTAATGTTTAATCCATTGAATTATGTAAATATTTTAGTAATTGTGTGTATTTCATTTTGTACAAGTAAAGGAGATGAAGAGGAGTATGATGGAATCAAGCAAAAGGTCACAAGGAAGCATTGGGATGAAGAGGAATTGAACCAGAGGAGCAAAAAGGAAAAATCATAAAAAGGACCTGACCAACCAGTTGAACTTCATTAGATTCATCAGGCTGCTGAACAGGCTTTAACCAGTTGAACCTTTGCAGGATTTTCTTATTAGAACTTGGCCAAGATGCTGCCAAGGCTTCAACCTATTGAACAAGAAGATCAATTGGTCCATCAGAGTTTTATCAAGATGTTGGGTACCCTTTAAATGGTTGAACCTCTCCTTCAATCGGATCATTGCTTGGTTATTTTCCATGTTGTTTCCTAACCTCTAAAAATTATCCCTTCATGTGTCTACGACTTGTGTATAAGGGAGTGTCACTCTCCCTCTGAATGATGCAAGAGATAGGGCNATTGGTCCATCAGAGTTTTATCAAGATGTTGGGTACCCTTCAAATGGTTGAACCTCTCCTTCAATCGGATCATTGCTTGGTTATTTTCCATGTTGTTTCCTAACCTCTAAACATTATCCCTTCATGTGTCTACGACTTGTGTATAAGGGAGTGTCACTCTCCCTCTGAATGATGCAAGAGATAGGGCAATGAAATGGTGGATGGAATGGAATGAACAAAATGACTGTGTGTGTGTACAAAAGTGCCCCCCAAGCGTAGCGAGTCTTTTAAGTGTCGTGTTTTACTTGGAAAAGTATTCCAAGGTTGTCTCCTTAGGGAAGGAAGGGAATTATGTGAAGGTGATTTTGTGCAAAAAGGAAAAGTGTAAAAATCTTTGAGTTTGAGTTTTTGTGATTTTGTTTTTGGTGAAAATGGAAGGAAAACAAATGTTGGCTAATCAAAAGAGGTCATTCCAATGGGAATCCCAATTCAACTCGAAACCTTCCTCCAATGGTGCATANTGTGATTTTGTTTTTGGTGAAAATGGAAGGAAAACAAATGTTGGCTAATCAAAAGAGGTCATTCCAATGGGAATCCCAATTCAACTCGAAACCTTCCTCCAATGGTGCATAGATGAACGATTGATTCGTGGGAGGCTAGGGACGAGATGGAATGAGTATCTAAGCATAAATCGTGACCAGGCATACGGGATATCAAAGGCTCGCCATCTCATTCACTATCAACCCAATCAAACTGAGCCATCATACACCGAGANCCATCTCATTCACTATCAACCCAATCAAACTGAGCCATCATACACCGAGATGAGGAAAGAAAAAGAGTTGAAATGGAATACCAAAGAGGCGATCTCCCTTGGATTAGCCAACTTAAAATCTAGCTACTCATAACTAAAGGAAAGACAAGCATAATGTAAAGAGACTTGTAAAAGAAATGAAGATTAAAACTTTACTCGATACAAGAAATTGTAAACTATGCAAGAAAATATTCAATACCCATTTTAAAGCATGAAAATGAAGAAAACTTGAAAGCAACAATGGTGGATTGAAGAACATGTAACTAAACTTGGAATCAACTTGAAATAGCTAAGATTAAAGTGCAAGGAATGAAGATTACAAGAGTATTAAAGCTTACTACGACAGAAGTGGAGAAGAAAATGCAAGAACATAAAGTTTATATTTCTACTATTCATCACCTTCTTCATTGAGCTAAGACTACTCCTAAGCTTAGGTATCCCCCCACCAAAATGTTGTGGAATATTGAATATATGGTGAGAGAGGATGCAAATTTCGGNTGATTTTGTGCAAAAAGGAAAAGTGTAAAAATCTTTGAGTTTGAGTTTTTGTGATTTTGTTTTTGGTGAAAATGGAAGGAAAACAAATGTTGGCTAATCAAAAGAGGTCATTCCAATGGGAATCCCAATTCAACTCGAAACCTTCCTCCAATGGTGCATAGATGAACGATTGATTCGTGGGAGGCTAGGGACGAGATGGAATGAGTATCTAAGCATAAATCGTGACCAGGCCTACGGGATATCAAAGGCTCGCCATCTCATTCACTATCAACCCAATCAAACTGAGCCATCATACACCGAGGTGAGGAAAGAAAAAGAGTTGAAATGGAATACCAAAGAGGCGATCTCCCTTGGATTAGCCAACTTAAAATCTAGCTACTCATAACTAAAGGAAAGACAAGCATAATGTAAAGAGACTTGTAAAAGAAATGAAGATTAAAACTTTACTCGATACAAGAAATTGTAAACTATGCAATAAAATATTCAATACCCATTTTAAAGCATGAAAATGAAGAAAACTTGAAAGCAACAATGGTGGATTGAAGAACATGTAACTAAACTTGGAATCAACTTGAAATAGCTAAGATTAAAGTGCAAGGAATGAAGATTACAAGAGTATTAAAGCTTACTACGACAGAAGTGGAGAAGAAAATGCAAGAACATAAAGTTTCTATTTCTACTATTCATCACCTTCTTCATTGAGCTAAGACTACTCCCAAGCTTAGGTATCCCCCCACCAAAATGTTGTGGAATATTGAATATATGGTGAGAGAGGATGCAAATTTCGTCCATGAGGCTCCCTATAGCCTGTGTGCAGGCCTCCCATCATAAGAGGTAAGTTGATTGGCTTGGTAGGCTAGGAGAAGACTAGCTTGCAACTCTTCCAACAGCCCCCTTCTCTCCCATCCTCATTAATGCTAATGCCTTCAAAGTCCAAGCAAGGGTGTTGGGAGACATGTAGATGTGTAAGGAATGTCAGGGGACAAGTTAGAGAATCAATGGTGGGACTCCCAATAAAGTGGAGCATGAGTTGCAGGTGTTCTGGGCATTTTGGGCAAAACCTTCCGGAAGGTTTTTGTAAAACTTCCAGAAGGTCGATTCCAATAGGCAGAACCTTCTGGAAGGTGATAACTCAGGACCACTTTTAGTAAAATTGCCATAACTTGTGATCCAACCGTTTGATGGAGCTGAAATTTTGACATAATATAGAAGACATCCATAGCTACAACTTGTATGTTTTGAACGTTTTCAAATTCGAAGTAGATCATGGCCACAAATAGGAAACACAGTGGTACTATGTCAAAACCTTGGAAAACCAGTGGGCAAAACCTTCCGGAAGGTTTTTATCCAAAATCCATTTTTCTTGGTTTATTCACCTTCCAAGCCTCCCAATCTTCATTTAATGTGTCCATCTCTTCACCACACATTCACACTTTGTTGTAGGGCTCTAAAATCCATCATTTATGCTATAATTCCCTGCAACATCAAAATTTTCACATTATTCAAAACTTAAACTAACTCTAAGTAATTAAATGAAAAGTTAAGTTAGAAAGCATGGAATGAGGTCATTAAATATGCAGTATTTTGTGCTCATCACACGCCCCAACTTAAGCTTTGCTAGTCCCTAGCAAACTAAATGTAAAAAGCAAGTGAACAAAAATAAATCTATACTAATTCCGCTATTGCATTTACCACATACAACAAGCCTTTAAACTCGTAGGTGATTCCTAGTGGATGAGTTTTGTCTCGTGAAGGTTTTCAGTTAAGGTACCTACAAACTTCTTTTCCTAGTATCCAATATTTAAAGCATATTCCCTTATCTTAACTAGTACTGGGATGTCAACAATAACTTTGTTTAACACACCCGAACTAATTACACATGAAACACATCATAGCTTTAAATGTTATTCTAGAGTATACTCCTACACATTTCCTTTCAAAACTCGTGTATGTGTGAAATGAATATGTAATTTAAGTATTTACTCAATGGAATCCACATTCACTTAGCTATCCATATTCAGCTTTGATGCAAAAACTCACCAAGGGTTTCTCTCAACAATGAATCACACTATGATTATCTTGGCATGCTCTCCATGTGTATATGTGAGATAGAATATTATGCACAAATTGAAGTATGCTCACATATAATCCAAAAATGAAGTATGCATAAAAATGAAACAACCTTGGCATAATCTCATGAAAGGAATGCTAGGGCATTAGATAGCAAAACCAACTTCTCTTTTTTTTTTAAAAGTATGCATCCCCCATGCTTCTCTAGATCATTTAGGACTTTTATAGTTTGTAATGAGGCCTTGGGGTGATATCTAGGTAAATGAACAAAGGATATAGGATAACAAAGAGGGTTGTTCCGAGTGCATGACATTTATTTCAAAAAGATCTCCCTTTCTATGGGATTTTTAGTCAACACCATCACTTCACTCTTTATTTCTTTTTCTCTCTTTTCCTTAACATTTTCCTTTTTGTTTTGTCCCTCTTTTCTTCTTTTCACCCCTTTTTCTCCTTTTCTTGAATTTTTTTTTTCCGTTCAACTCTTTGAATTCAACTTCATTCATCCCTTTTGTTGA